AACCTGTTGTGTATACCATTACCTTCAGACCATGTACATGAGATGTATATGAAATATCAATTAATTAGGTGTTTAGACATAGCTCTCCATCTCTGAGTTATCTCATTATGTATATCCAAGTATTCAAAACTCTGAAATACGGACCATGTCTGGTCCCAAGCATTTTGGATAAAATGTACTTGAACTGTGTGTGTTTGTTCACTAAAACAACAGCATTGCTTTTATTTCAGGTCACAGCCAGGCCATTTCATGCAGCAAATCTGTGTTGAAAGGGATCCAAGGAATCATTTTTTACACGCTTGACTGCCACGTGCCAGCACTGAGCTTTTGACCACATGAATATAGGAATGATTTAATAGAGGAAGTAGCAGTGGACTATTGTGGATGTTGAAAGCTCCATGGCACATGCATGATTGAGTTGGACACCATTAGGCTGCTTGTAAATAAAACCTGCTAACTTGGCTGGCTTGGAATTAGTTTACAGAAACAGAACAGCCACTGGTTTGTCTGGAGCTGGCCCTTCTCTTTCAGAAAGGCTGGGAAACAGACTGAGCTCATTCATTTTTTTTATTTTAAAAAATCTGCTTAGAGTGCCAGTGACAATAACCAGCCCAGTCTCATCTCCACGTACAATAGCATCCGGCAACTGGCATGGAAAGAGTATGTTATAATCCAGCCCTTGGAAAAATAAGCTTGTTGCGGGGGTTGGGTGTAGGGCGATCACTATTCAGTGGGCAATTGGAAACAGCATGGGGGTTGGACACAGTCAGCTTTGACCTACATCCTCTCTGGGACTTCTCCCAAATTACTTGTCAATCTGCCATGCCCAATGAGGGGTGGCCTCCTGAGAGGTATGGACTCTTAAATGGCCTGTCATGAAATGAAGCTGGATCAAGGAGTGCAGGGCAGTTGCGGAATTGATATGTTGTGGGCAGGATAGCTAAACAAATTGCCCAGACATGGTAAATGGATTTTTTCCTCGAATTTTTATTCAGCATTTTTCCCTATGCAAGGATTTGTGCTACTTTAGCCCCAAGCAATATATTTATGGTATGGCATATACCTGAGCAATAACCAAATTCCTCATATTATTTTCTAGTCCATGGGAAATTCTCAAAGTAATTCCGTTCCTTTGTTTATTGCCTGTATTTGTTTGCTGTTGTTACGTGATCAGAGGCTACAAAGCATTAGACGAATGCTACCAAAAGCAGTGGTCTGTGGACTGATGCTAGTCTGTGAGCCATTGGCCTCCAGTCTGTAGCAGGTTTCCTGGGAATCAGTAAACAGTTGTAGCCAATGGCACAAATATGGTGCCAGACCATGAGGAAAATATCCTGCTAAATCTCCCACATCACACAGTTTAAAAAACACAGTTTTAGGCCTCATTTCTTAATACAGATTCCTGAATCTGTGTGACAGCCATTCCGTGTCTTTTATAGTGCCATATGTGAACTCTTTAATTTTCTAATTTGGAAAGGCTAAATTTTCCAAATCCTAAGTACTTATTTCCAATTTGAAAATACTTTGATGCACTATATACAATTAAATTTGTTTCACCTGCATCTATGGCAAGCATCCTCAGAGGTAGTGAGGTCTGTTGGAACTAGGAAAGGGGTTTATATATCTGTGGAATGACCAGGGTGAGACAAAGGACTCTTGTCTGCTGGAGCTAGGTGTGAATGTTTCAACTGACCACCTTGATTAGCATTTGATTGCCTGGCAGTGCCTGGCATCTGGAATTCAGTTTTCCTCTTTTCCTACTGCCTTTTACCTTGCCAGGCATGATCATCTTTTCTAGTAAGACAGGTCTTCTTAAGATGTAACCAAAGTATCACAAACTCAGCTTAGTCATCTTGACTTCTAGGGAACGTTCACAGTGCTTTCATATCAAGCAGTGATATACACCATCCTAATTTTCACTTATCAGTAACTCCAGGTTTCCCAAATGTTGTTTTGACTTGTCAGATAGCTACTACAGACCTTGGAAGAACATTAGCAGTCAGCTCTTGTGATTGGGTATATGTGGGTGGATGGAGGAAATAGCTCTAGTTAAGTGGTTTTTAGTAATTTTTCAAGATGACATAAATTGAACTTTGACAAGTACTGGAAGCCCTTTATGTTTAATATTAAACAAATACATTTCTGGCGGTTGACTAAATTACTTTATTTTGGTTGAGAAATTATCTCTGTGTGCGTTCAGTGTTTCCTTCCACATTGGCACAGGACTCATTTCTAACAGCCGGGAAATTCCATTTAGAGTCTGGTTTTGGCTGGCTGGACCAAATTGTCCTAATCTCTCTTAGGAGGTACACTGCAGCAGTTGCCATCACCCAGAAAATAAACCAGCTTTATTTTACCTCCATCTGTCACTTACTGTGTTAAGCTGGTAAAGAAAATGAAGTTTCCTCTCTGACTTCCTTCGCTCTCCACAGAAACAAACTTTCTGCAAGATATTTATGATTAGTTGTGTGTTCTCAACAGGCACATGTATTACAACAAACGCATTCTGTGCCATGACATTTTTGTCAAAAAGGCAATATATTTTTGAGCCAGACAGGATTTTTATCCCCTGGCAGTGTGTCCATATTAGTGATGGCCAAGTGGTAATCCACAAGTTAGATAAAAGGCTAACATTTTGCCTACAGTTACACTCATAATGAAAATGAATTTGTTTTCAAAACAGACACACATTAAAGTTGAATGTTACATCTGTCTTTGCTTTGTAATGGTATTAGTCAGACTGAAGTATACTGGCCTCTATCACTAAGAGACACTTCTTTCTCCAAGCTACATAGCATGTTTTCTAAGGATACAAAAGGTGGAAAGCTCTGCAGCAAAAGTATTACTTGTAGGGCTCCAGTTGGAATTACTGTATATACTCGAGTATAAGCTGAGTTTTTCAGCCCTTTTTTAGGCTGAAAAAGCCCCTCTTGACTTATACTTGAGACAAGTTTATTTATTATTTTACGCTGTTATCATTATCATCATCACATTATTATTATTATTATTATTATTATTATTATTATTATTATTATTATTATTTGAAACACAACAAGTTTAGTACGCAACAAACAAGGTGACTATGCTGGTTGTTGTATTGGATCACGCATCGGACACTTCCCAAGTGTCCCGGACTGTGATGTATCGGCAAATAATGCCTGCAGATCCCAGTAAGGTGGCGTTTTGCAGCTGACAGATGGTAATTTTGTCAGCGACGATTGTGTTTAAGTGCAGGCCAAGGTCTTTAGGCACTTCACTCAGTATACCGATCAATCTTTAAATCCTCATATCGTGTCAGCTTTTCCAGTTGTTTATCTTCAATCCATGCTTGGTTTTTTAACACGATTGTGAGGTCTGGAGTATTGTGCTCCAAAACTCTGTCTGTCTGAATTCGAAAGTCCCAGAGTAGTTTGACGTGTTCATTTTCTGTAACTTTTTCAGGCTTGTGATCCCACTAGTTCTTTGTCTCAGGCAGATGGTAGTTGTGGCACAAGTTCTAATGAATCATCTGAGCCTCTGCTTGTAGTCTGTCTGCGCGATCTTCTTGCAGCAGCTGAGGATGTGATCTATTGTTTCATCTGCTTCCTTGCAGAATCTACACTTGGGATCTGTTGTCGATTTTTCAGTTTTGGCTTTGATGGCATTTGTTCTAATGGCTTGTGCTTGGGCTGCCAGAATCAGGCCCTCTGTCTCCTTTTTCAAAGTTCCATTTGTGAGCCACATCCATGTTTTTTCTTTGTCAATTTTGCTCTCAAATTTTTCCAGGAACTGTCCATGGAGAGCCTTCCTTTGCCAGTTTTCTCTTCTGCTTTGCATTGTGTTTTTACGGTATTCCCTCTTTGTCTTTTGCACTTTAAGCAGTTTTCTACTATTGACTTCCCTCAATGTTGGTTCTTGACTGTCTTTCACATAATCTGCCAATGCATGTTTCTCTTCTTCTAGCATTTGTTTCACTTTCAGAAGCCCTCTGCCTCCTGATTTTCTCGGCAGGTAAAGTCTGTCGACATCTCTACACGGGTGTAATGAGTAGTGGATTGTCATCAATTTTCTTGTTCATCCAGCTCTACTTGTGTCCAGTTCATAACTCCAGCAGTGTATCTGATGACTTATTATTATTATTATTATTATTATTATTATTATTACATTTATTATTTTACTCTCTTTATTATTATTGGAAGGATACATAAACACATTTACATTGAAGAAGGTTAGAATAATGGTTTAACCTTATCTTAAATTACAGTTTTATGTAAACATTAAAAATATTGAACCTACTGATGCCTCAATGTAATTTTATTGGTATCTATTTTTATTTTAATATCTGCTGCATTTCCCGTCCTCGGCTTATTCTCGAGTCAATAAATTTTCCCTGTTTTCTGTGGTAAAATTAGGTGCCTTGGCTTATATTCGGGTTGGCTTATATTCGAGTATATATGGTACTAACCCATGCAGAATGGCCACCATTCTGTGACTTAGAGTATATTTACATGTATTTTTTTCAGTTTGATACCACTTTAACTGCCATGATTTAATGTTATGGAATTGTGAAAGTTGTAGTTTGGTGAGATATAAGCACTACTTCACAGAGTAAGGTAAAGATATGGAAACACCTGCAGTTCCATAGCATTAATCCATGGTAGTGGAAATCAAACTATGTTAGTGGCATCAAACATTAAATCTGCAGTCTAGCTGCACTCTTCGTCTTCAAACAAGTGACTTCTCTGTGCCATTCTGAGGGGGTATAGGTTATTCCCGGGATTTTAACTAGGGAGTGTTTTGAGTGAGCAGATCAGTGGCATTTTTTCTCAACACCTCCCCATACCTCCATCTCAAACACTACTATGATTGATTGCAGATCATCTCCATTCCGCACAACACTTGCAATATCATGCCATTATTATTGGCTGTCTTCATGGCTTAAAGGCATACCTGAACCATCTTTACAGCACTAAAAAGAGATGTATCCATAATAATGGGACTTAATATCTGGCACTGTTTAGGTTCTCAGAGAAGGCGACTTATTCCAGCTTTATCACTTGATGCAACATCACCAGTAAGGAAACCTACAAGCCCAGCTGTGCGTTGGGTGGATGGACCTCTGCGAAGTGCCCAAAGAGGAATGGGGGAGCCCTTTGAAATCAAGGTCTATGAGATTGATGACGTGGAGCGGCTCCAGCGACGACGCACAGGAGACAACAATGTGAGACCATAATAATAAAGACTGTGCCATTTTTCAGTGACAAAGATGCAGATTATGCCTTATTATATTTCATTACTGATGTATTTTCAGCAAGTTGGCTAGGGCTAAGGGAAGTTTAAACAATGCTCTCTTAATTTACAAATGAAATATATTCCATGGAAGGTCCTAATTTATCTCATAAATTTAAACTAAAGCTATAACATCCACTAAAATTCAAAATTTAAAAGTTACTCTTTATAACCTGCTACTACTTTTTAAAATCTACTTCTCCTTTCTTTCCAAAACAATTGATAGAAACGGTATGGCATTACTTTTGCAGAGCTAGCAATGAACAAGTAATATTTTCTAGTTATCATTAAAGTTATTTTAGAAAGGTATTTTAATGTATATTATGTACTTTAGAGGCATTTTGAGTTGGATCTCTCATGTTTTATCCCATTTTTTATTATTCCTAAATATCCCCAGTCAGTTTTGGGGGAAAATAACAAGTAATTCAAGGTGCAATACAAGTCTGTTTTAAAACACTGTATTGGAAACAAAATACTTTTTAAAAATCGCATTATAGTATCTCTAGTTCCTTTTACTCATATTGGCATCATGACACACAATAAAAAAGTATTGATTATATAAAGATGTATAATATATATTTTTCTTATTAGCCAAGAAGGAAAAGGTTTTGCCCAGTCTCCTTTCTCCAAGAATCCTGACTTGGAGCATTGGGATACATAAACGAAAGAAAATCTCTGGACAAGCAGGGTCAAAACTTATGTCTGGTGAATCTGCTACAGAGTCAACATCAGAATACATCTGTCTTATTTTAGCTTGATCTATTTATTTATTATTTATTTATTTCGGACATTTATATCCCGTCCTATGTCAACCTCGGCAGAGGGACTCAGGGCGGCTGACAACAAAAGCATAAATATACATCTTAGGTAAAAACAGTATAAAGCATTATAAAAACATCATAAAAACAGTAAAGCATTAGAACTATCGCCAGTATTAAATCATTGTCAAACAATATAGTTTGAACTGCATTATATAGGTCTACACTAATCATATAATGAAATTCAAACTGCATTATTTGGCAGTTTGAATTGCCAGCCATTATCTGCAAAGAACACTGATTTCTTTTCTCATGCTGTAGAGCAGGGGTTTGCAGTTTTTTTTCAGCAACGGAGCACTTTTTGAAGCAAAACTTTCTCATGGAGCCCCGAGAAATGTTTATGTTTTATATATTATACATAATGTATATATATCAGGCATGGGCAAACTTTTAACCAACATAAACTTAACAATATTTCAGTGGAATACCCCCAGAGCCATCCAGTCCAATCCCCTTCTGCAATGCAGGAGAACTGTGTCAACTACTGCAATTAAAGCACCCCCAACAGATGGTCACCCAGCCTTTGTAGTAGTAATGAGGAGCAGTTTAAAGAGCTTGGCATGTTTAGCCTGAATAAAAGGAGGCATGTATAAATATGTGGGAGGAAGTCATAGGGAAGAGGGAGCAAGCTTGTTTTCTGCTGTCCTGGAGACTATGATGCAAAACAGTGGTTTCAAACTACAAGAAAGGAGATTCCTCCTGAACATTAGGAAGAACTTCCTGACTGTGAGAGCTGTTCAGCAGTGGAACTCTCTGCCTGAGTGTGATGGAGGCTCCTTCTTTGGAGGCTTTTAAGCAGAGGCTGGATGGCCATCTGTTGGGGGTGCTTTGAATGCGATTTTCCTGCTTCTTGGCAGAGGGTTCGACTGGTTGGCCCAGAGGTCTCTTTTAACCCTGTGATTCAATTATTATAATCATCATCATAATCATAGTAATAATAGCAAAAACCCTAGGGGCCATCAAGTTCAACTCCCTTCTGCCATGCAGGAAAAGCACCCCCTGAGCAGTAGGAGGGAAATAGAGTTTTGGAAGCAAGGAGAGTGGGGAAAGGATCTGGGTGGCGAGGAAAGTGAGGGGGAAAGGGTTTGAGTGGTAAGGAGACTGAGGGAAAAAGGCTTTTGGTGGGAAGGGAGGTGGGGGGGGGGGGTAAGAGGAGGAGCAAAAAAGAGGAGGGAAAGCTTTGAGGGAGAGCAAGCAGATTGAACCACCCAAGGGTTCTGCAGAGCACACTTTGAGAACTGCTGCTCTAGAGTATAAAACATTACATTTGAATAGCTCTTTATACACATAGTGGTGGCTGAAAAGACCATAATAGGATTTCAAGAGCAAATTTTCTCTAATGGAGATTGGTAAGCAGGAGAGACGAACATTTCTTGCTCCTGTTAATTCTCCCCTCTAAAATCACCTAATCCATTTTTCTCTCTCCTGGGTTCATTTCTAGTTTCAGAGTGCAACCAGGCCAAAATATTGACCAGGAATACAATAGTATGGAAGAATTGGTACCAGGTCATCAGTTGCTTCTGCCCTGAGATTATCCTCAGCTCTTGCATTAGTTATCACTGTGTTGGATGTGGGACTTAGGAACCCAATATTCCCATGGCATCCCAGGGTTCCTGTCTCCTATAAGAACTTTTTTCCACTTTAAAAACATATGACTGCATTAGGATATGAATTAATTCCCAGAACAAATGGAGAATATGTTTTGGAAACCTTTTCCCCTTGAATTACGTGTTTAACAAGGCATCTGATAACTATCCTTGACAAACAAAAGTACAGAGACTCTCCAGTGTCAAGGGTTTACTTGCTTAATTAATTCCCTGTGGTTTCATTTATTGAGTTATTGTAATAGTTATTATGAAATGGAAGATAATTTGGCTGAGTGAAATCTAACCTGCTCTCATATTTTGTGCTTTTCTTTGTCTTCATTGCTTTTACCGGGTAGGAGGTAATTTGCTTCAACGCCAAACTGAAAATCTTGGAGCATCGACAGCAGCGAATTGCAGAGGTCAAGGCCAAGTATGAGTGGTTAATGAGAGAGCTGGAAGTGACCAAACAGTACCTGATGCTGGATCCTAATAAATGGCTCAGTGAATGTAAGATCATACAGCTTATTCTTGTTTGTTTTCCAGAGACGCCAATATTTTATTGTTTCTAATACCAAGGATAACTATGCGTGCAAAGCTTGAACAGATATGAGACGTGGGGTAGATTTAGATTCTCTATATTTGTTAAATTGTTCTCACGTGCTCTCTGTCAAATTGCAACATTGGAACCAAGTTGGCGTATTCACTCAAGAACTGAATCCAGGAATTGTAAGATACTCTAATGAGGAATATTGCCATCACTAGATTATGTGTCTCAGTCCATAGCTTCTGAAAATGAGATTCCCCCCATCCCAGATCACTCAGACATTTGAATTACATTATAAATCTGCTCTCTTGCTGTGAAATAATACCGTAAGGCAGATTTGACCCTTGGTTGAAAGGGCTTATGTAAAAGATTAATGTGGTCTCTACATGTAGTCAGAAATGGATACAGTTCATTCGAGGGATTAATGTATTCGTATTAGGAAAGCTGCTTCCAAAAGATGCAGACACAATAAAAACTTTATAAAACTTTGGTACTGGCTTCTTGGAGCTGTCGTGGGACTTCAAAAGCAACAACAACAAGCAGACAGTTTTCTGATCTAATACAAATACTTAATCTGATGGTCTCCCAAGAGCTTTACATTGTATTTGAAACATATTGCAATGACAGTATTAGTAAAACAAGAGGGCAAGTTTCAAAACTATACCAAATAATCAAAGAGGCAAAATTTCATAGATCTCAAGGAATGATACTTGTTTCAGAGTCAGATTCAGACGTAATATGAACAGAAAAAATGTTTTACTTTGGAAATGCCACTCTTTTAGTTAATATATGGAAGTATATTAAAAATTACTCACAAATGTACTACTCACTTAAACTCAACACAGTCAGTGTCAAATTTATGTTGGAGAAGGTGTTATAAAATAGGAGATTGGAACCATGTGACTAACTTGTCCAAAAAATGGTAAATTCTGACATGACACATTAGGATGGATAAGTCAGATGTTAGGCAAGTAGGTTCATTTCAGAAGAACATTGCTGCTAATTTCCATATTCAAATATGACAATATAAACTTGCCAAATAAGGATCTTATATTAAAAACTGCAAAGTTAGAGATCACTAAAGCATGAAAGACATTAGAGAATCCTTCAATACAAAAGTGGCTAAATAGGATATGGTCCATAGCTTTTTCAGAAAAGTTAACACATACAATAAGACTTGCAAGACAGGACGTAAAAAAAAGATATGTTAGAGACTAGTTGGAACCCGTTACACTATGTAACACAATTTTTGAGACAAGGTGGAACTTAAATCTCTGCTGGATCAAGAGAGATTTTGGAAAACTAAGTGTTGATAGCTGTCATCAACTTATATACAACATTTTATTATTAGGAAGATAATTTATATGGATGGTGATTGACAGAGATTGGGTGAATTGGGGAGGGGAGAGATAGGAGAAATATGTTAACTGTATAGAAAGAACGGCAGTTATAGTCTATTTTTATTAAATATTATATATTTAAAACATTAAGAAAAAAAGGCATTTCCAATTTATAGTGACCCTAAGGTAAACCTTTTATGGGATTTGTTCATAAAGGATTTTTCATTGCATTCTCTGAGGCTAAGGATGCATCTACACTGTAGAATTAATACAATTCAAAAACCACTTTCACTGTCTTTTCTGGAAGCATGGGAATAGTAATTTTACAAGGTCTTTAGCCTTCTTTGCCAAAGAGTGCTACAAATCCCAAGAGTCCATAATATTGAAGTATGGCAGTTAAAGTAGTGTCCCACTGCACTAATTCTACAATGTGGAGAACTTGACTTTCCAAAGGTCACTGAGTTGGTTTCTGTGGTCTCCCAGAATCTTAGTCCAATCCACAATCCACATCTCTTTGCTGGATCTCTAGATGGAGGCAGTTAGTGAACATGCCAATAGACAATTATTTCTTTTTAATAAAAATAATAAAAGTTTGTCACGAACATCAAAACATTGAAGCCAGCATCAACAGTACTCTGATGCCTTTTGGATTATAGTCAAACTGAATTGGCAAGAAGTCACACATATAAGAGGCCAGCATGGTGTTGTGGTTTAGGGTTTATTATAGCTCTGGGAAACAGTCATTATTATAGCTCTGGGAAACAATTCCCAGTCATTATGAAAACCCACAGGGAGGGAGACCTTTGGCAAGTCACACCCTCTTAGCCTCAGAAAAAAACACCTTAGGGTCATTGTATGTGGGAAATGACTAGATGGCATAGAACAACTCTCACATATGTCACACCAATTCACTCCCAAATTGGGATCACCACAAAGGGCTGAACTCTGTCTTTCCTCCTCCACACTAGAACATCTGGAACAGTCACCAGCATGGGTTGTTGTGGGTTTTTCGAACTGTATGGCCATGTTCCAGAAGCATTCTCTCCTGACATTTTGCCTTCATCTATGGCAGGCATCGTCAGAGGTTGTGACCTCACGACCTCTGAGGATGCCTGCCACAGATGAAGGTAAAACGTCAAGAGAAAATACTTCTAGAACATGGCCATACAGCCCGAAAAACCTACAACAACACAGTGATTCCAGCCATGAAAGCCTTCAACAATACATAGTCACCAGCATATTACTACTGTTTCACCTAGGCAGCACTCTGTCAGAATTTTAACACTTCACCAGTATTGAACTGGATCTTGGCCAACATCACTTACTTATTTTAGAATGAAGAGGGTTTGACATCTCGTTTTTAAAAAACAGTGGGGGCTGTTGAAAATTCTGTATTCGGATAATGGTCTATAAGACTTGAATGGAAGCTATTTTCCTTCCAATAAAGAGGGCTTGTGAACTCAATCACGTTTTTCCATTGCACAAGAGTTTGTCACAGTTGAAGCATGAACTCTGGTTTCTAAAAGCAGCACCCACAGATTGGTGCCCATACATATTCAACTAACCATTTGTGGTATAACTTCCATTTCTGGTAGACTTCTGGTCCTTTTCTGTCTCTCCACCAGCATTTTTCTTTGTCTTTCTTCACAGTTGACCTGGAGCAAGTATTTGACTTGGATTCACTGGAGTACTTGGAGGCTCTGGAGTGTGTGACTGAACGCCTGGAGAACCGTGTCAACTACTGCAAGGCCCACCTCATGATGATCACCTGCTTTGACATCACTTCCAGGCGTCGATGAAGATTTCACACAAGAATGTTTTGGACTACTGTCTCCCCTTTTCTCCCTTTTGAACAGCGCCCCAAAGACACAGAATGAGGATGAAGGTCGGTGTCATGTTTTGACTGTATGTGTGTGTGTTAAGAAGAGATTCCCCTCACCTTTCTGTTTATGATGAAGAGCAGATCGTAAATTGAATAGATGATGATGAAAAGCAAAGACACGGAGGTATAAGGATGTGGATTCTTCTAGCCCTGAAAGAGCACTTTGAGAAATCTTTAAGGACGTATTTGTAAATAGGAACTGCTGGCAGAAGTGACTGTTTTCCCCAACAATACCTGAAGCAAGAGGAAGAGCAGATGTAGGATCGCCGCTGCTGAAAGCACCATTAAAGTGAAAATACACAGAGAAACTGTCTTAAGTGCCTTGCAAATCTTTATTATCCAAACATTTATGTCCATATTTTTTGTGTACAGATGGTGCTAGTCAAGAAAAAGAAAAAAAAAGACAAAAAATCAAAACACTTTTTTGGAAATGTATTTGCAGCCTGGTTTTTATTTTCCTCTTGGTGTTTTATCCTTTTTCTGACTTGTTGTTTCTATGTAACTTGTGTTTGTAAAGATGTTTCTAAACTGATACAACATATAAATAAATGTTAACTGTCTTTCATTGATACACATCAGAATAAGGCCACTCAAAGGGGGGGGGGTGATGATTAAATCTGTTACATCAAGCTCACAATGTTTGAGAAGGGAGATCCCTAGGCTCTAGTTGAAAAAGGAGATTTTTCTGGCAACATGGCAAAGGCCTGAGTACATTTGATAGTCCCAGCAAGAGTCAATCCATTGAATCATTCAACACTTGAATTGTTTTTGGTGGAGCCCCCAGTGTTGCAATGAGTAAAACCCTTCTGCTGGTAGGACTGCTGGCCAAAAGGTCGGTGGTTCAAATGCGAGTTGGGTGAGCTCTCATCTGTCAGTTCCAGCTTCCCATGAGGGAACATGAGAGAAGCCTCCCACAGGATTGTAAAACATCTGGGCATCCCCTGGACAATGTCCTTGTAGATGGCCAATTCTCTCACACCAGTAATGACTTGCAGTTTCTCATGTTGCTCCTGGCACAAAAAATTAAAATACAAAAGAATGTATTTCATAATTTGTTGTCTTGGCTTTAAAATAAAAATAAAAGAAAATAAAGGGGGATGATGTTGTCTGCTTGTGGAGGAGAGAAGCAGGAGCAGAACCCATCACCCCCTGCCTTTAGGCAGTGCATAGTGCCATTCTTAGCTTGAACAGCTTAAGAGTTCATCCACTTCATTTCTCCATAATATGTTCCATGTGTTTATTGAAATGACATCTCTGATTTGTGTATTATCATATAAAAATGCCTTCTGCCACAGGGAAAAGCAATAGTTGATTCAATAGCTATACTTGATTTGGGATTACCAATAGGAGTCAAGCCAAAATGTTACTTGGTATTAGTCTTATTGTGGAGAAATAAAGTCAATATGGGAATGGGATGGGAATTTGACATGGAACCAGAGTTATTTATAACACTTCTATTTACAGATTCCCTTGTGACATATTGCAACTCCCCTTAGCTCCCAGTACTCTGACTAGTCTCGAGTTGGGAGTGTTCAATTATCAGATCTGTTCCATCATGAAGATATGCAGTCACAAACATAAAATAATTCCAGACTACCTTTTCACCTTTCCAATGATGCCATACTTTTCATAGTACAAAGAACCATTGAATAGCGGGATGCTATAGGTGGTCAGTTTTGTGTATGAGAGAGAGGGAACAATTTTGAAAATGTTACTCTAAGCCTTAATATGGACTCTCTAATACTGCACAGAAAGTGTTTCTGCACACACACAAAATGCACATGCATTCCAAGAACATGTCATATTCTTCCCATCAGATGTTCATATTCAGGTGGTGTCCTGCTGGTAAATTTTGATTGGTGTTCCAAAGAATGAAATTCTCTACCAACTACATAAGTACCCCACAAATCACCACTTTTTCTCAGCTGTGGGCACCTCCCAAATTTTGTATTTCCTATTCAAGTGGAAAATGAGAGAAGAGCATACAATTGTCCAAGTTTTGTCCTAAAGCAATGATTATGGAGGATTATGGCTGGCGTCATGTTACTCAGCCCCAACTAGAGTAAGCCAATTCAAACAGTTTTAGAATGGTAAGTTAAATCTCATTGACACAATGAATTTGCTGCAGTTAGGACTAAACCAAGTTAGAATTTAGTTACAAGACACAAGGACATGAACTAAATCTCTCTAATCCAGGATCTTGACCTCATTTCGTCGATACCTATCCAAAATGCCCACCTCTCTGCAAACAACCATGCAGAATGGGCACATCTCATAAAAGTTAGAAAGATGAAAGAGACAAGACAATAAGTAGGATAATCATGAACACACTGTGTCATTTGAACAATTTGCAGAATCTATTACAGTGCTCTGTTTACATAGAAGCAGATTTCCATGGACAATGTAAACAAGAACTTGGTTCTAAACTTGTAGTTTCTCTATTTATCCAAAAGCTAGATGCACAAAGAAAGTTCTTTATAACAAAGCAAACAAACCTTTCTTCTCAGTCTTTCAGTTCAAGGGATCAGCATGATTCTGTTGTATTTAAAAGGTTTCCATGTAGGTAATGTGCTCACCCTGCCTCTGTTAGTACTGAGAGGTAATAATGAACCATCTCATCAAGACATCACAACAATAGATTCAGACACTTACTACTGTTTCAGGTACACAAAACAGCAACATGATCATCAGTAATGTTTGCTTCTAAGTAAATTAATACCTCTGTAATGTGAACAGTGTAGATGTGCTCCTGTTTCATAGCTTTTAACTGTAGAGAGAAGAGATGAAAGACTGGAATCATATTGTTAGACATAACTAGAGTTGATCTATTGAACCAATGGAATTTATCTACATTCAACATAATGCAGCAAAATCCACTAAAGAGTAATTTGTTTTTGGATGAGAAAAGTATACAGTGAGCATATACTTAATCCTATTTCCAATCTAGACATGGATTTAAAATACCTCCTCTGTTCGGAAGCCATCATACAGCTGATGGGTAGACAATGGATACATATATTCTGTCTGTGTGTTCACAGATATTACTGTACCATTGTATTATTTTTGACTAACAGCATATTTAGCCTCTTTTATCTCTTTTCAGATCTAGTTTTCTGACCTTGCTTTCTTTTAGACAGCCTTTGTTTTCCTTTAAATTTCTAGAAAAAATACATATTGGGAGATAATTTCCTTGACCCAAGCCTGCTGGTACTCCACACAATATTTTATAAGACTACCCTGTGCTTTTTGGAGCTTAGTAAGGCATCCCCTAAAGACGAAACTATGCATATGCCTATTTATGCTCCCTGCAATAAATGTGCCTTCTGTTCCCCAGTGGAATTCCCTCAGAATTGTGTCCATGTTTACCTTCAGAGACTAATCAAAAAGCAATGCATGCTAAATGACAAATATGCAAGTGAAGACAACCACATGCTTGAACATACAGATTTCTTAAAGTACAATTTCTTCTAAAAGTGTGCTAATCATGAATTTCATACGTAGCTTAATTGACAAAAACTTTACTAGACTAGAATTAGGAAGCTGCGATATACAGGTTATTTACTGAATTGGAAACAGTATGCATAGATTGAATGGACATGGAAGCATGCATTCTAGAACAAAAGTTCACAATAGGAGGTGGGAAATTGATGCCATTTCTTCAGCAAGTAATGACAGCATTTGGGGTTTCCAGCTCAAAAAGAGACCATTGCTCTGGGGGAAAGGAGTTTTCTTCAAACCAATTTTCTCGCTGTGTTGCTTCTTTTGTGACCTGTTTGCCCTAGAAAGTAAACGGCAACTCCTAAATGGTATTTGATGGAGAGAGACTGTGGGAAATACTGTTCCATATATTCCCATTTCATATGCCTTATTGCATAGTGACACACTGTTTCTGGGCGAGTCTCATGTCAGCCAATCCTTCAATTTTCCTTATATGTTTTTCCAAACGTTGGCACCAGAAAGCAATTTTGATTCTTAACAGTCTGCAACATTCAGTTTACTGAGTTAAAAACAAAAAGGCACCAGGAACAAAAGAGAAAGCACAGCCAAAAAAATCTAGGTGATATTTCGTCTACTTGAGTTAGTGCAGTTACTGACAAGCGACAAAGCAGAACTTATGAACCTTGCAACGAAGCAGTATCAATAAAACCTTTACAGCCCCACTTCCCAGAAGGCTGACCATTTATGTATGCCACATTTTATGGAAGCTGTATTTTAAAATGAGTATTGTATTAATGCCTATACTTACTCTTCACCCTATAAAGCCAAGTTGTGGCATCTGCCTCACATAAAGCTTTGAAATAAATGTAACATTTGTCAAGTCAATTAAAAAATACACACGAGTGTCACTAATTTAATGTCTGATTTACTGAAGATTTCCAGTATTAGCTATATTAACCATGTAATATAAGCAGAGACAGTGTGAAGAAAATGAAGAATGCATCCATGGTCTCTGTCTCCACGCCTAACACCTTCCCTCAGATAAAATGTTATTAATATTTCTATGGTTGGCTCTAATTAGCTGAGAAATGCAAGAAAGTTGATCTAGATGGCTACTTTTTAAAATCTTGGTCATGGTGGAGAAAAGGACAACATATATTTAGCATAACCATGGTGTATGAACAGTGGACCCTTGAAATCCACAAGATGTTCATTCCAGTACCTAAATCTGTTGTTGATGATGATAATGATGATACTTTATTTATATTTCTCCCTGTGGGGACCCAGAGCACATTACTGTGTAAACAGATACCGTCAAACATTTAATGCCTTGTTACAATACAATAAGACACACAAACAAAGGCAGAGGCTTCTCCTTTCATTTCTGGCTTTGGAGGTGGTGCTCATCTCTGGCTCTAAGGGAGGTGCTGTTCTCCATTTGCAAGCTGAGGAGCCTGCATTGTCACCTCCTGGTCATGTGTCTGGCATGATTGCTTGGAGCGTCTTATGCCTTTCCCACCAAAGTGGTACCTATTTATCTACTAACTTCTGCATTTTTAAAAAATTGCTAGATTGGCAGAAGCTGGGCTAACAGTGGGAGCTCAGCCTTTCCTGCGTATTCGAACTGCTGACCAGCAGTTCAGCAACACAAGGGTTTAACCCATTGTGCCACCATGGCCCACTGCTCAAATCCCAGTACAGTATACGGTTTAATAAAATGGCGTTCCTTATATAAAGATGGCAACATCAAAGTTTTTTTAATTTTGTTTTGAAGGGTAGATATTTTTATGTGATGGATGGTAGAACCCAGAAGTGCAGAATATGTGGATATGAAGAGCCAATTGTATTGCATACATGTGATGTTAAAAAACACCAATTAAATTAATAAGCAGTATTCCCAGTTCATAACCATATTTTTCTAAACTATTTTGAGATGAACATTTCATTAGAGTATGTGCTTTAAAGCCAACTAAGCATATGTCCCCTGCATCACAAAGGGTATCTCTTGTCAGACTGTACAAACTGGGCCATAATATTGTGTGGGTTGATTGGAACTTATCTACATGCTTTCTTAGAATGTCTTTTGCTATCCCCAGCAATGAGCTTTAAATACTCAGTTTCGGCCTACTGGTCATGTTGCAGGAAAATCTTCTGATAATTCTCTCAATCTCTCTATCTCATTCAATTTATTTCAGCAACAACAACAAAGCTTAGTAATACTAATCCAACTGCCTTTGCAACTCACCCAAAGGGAAATGAACGTATGCATTTTATAAAACTTTGAGTGGTCATAACAATGGGGCATACTTTAAAACAAAACATAAAACATTAGTAATGAAAATGGTGCTTAAAGCAGTTTCAGCTAAATCTGTATTACATATATTCTCTATATGGATTTACCCACCTTATATATTGTATAATATGTGTGTGAACGGATATCTGAATAAAACACACCTTTGCCTAGAGATTTTATGTATACATAGATACTACTTTTTCTAAATTTCCCCTCATTCCCCCAGATGAAACTGCTATCAGACATCCATCATACATCTGACATATGAAGGATATAATTTATTTGTAAACTCAGGATGTTCTTGCTTTATCAAATTGCTTGTACTTTGTAATTTATTTACCCATCTTAATTGGAAATGCTTATCTAAGTGCTATGCATTGAAGTGTACATTTGCTGAATCCATTTCATTCTGTCTATGCATATGTCCTTTTTCATATGAACAGTGGTATAATAAAGTCATGTAAGGCTGGAAAGTGCCCCTTGCCGTTGGGCCAAAGGCATCGACTGCTTCGGTCATAAGAAGTTTTGCCAGAAGACAGACCTGCAAACTTATATTGTGCTATCTCAGCTAAGCATTTTTGGAACAGACAGGAAAAATATCAACGCTGGGACAGGAATGGAAAAAGAATCAGAAAAACACAGAAACCTGCAAGTTTATTGAATGATTACGTCAGACCTTTTGCCATTAAAATGTAAAGTTTACTGTTTCCTGGCTAAAAAAATCTCTCACCTTTTGTGGTATATGAGGTGTGAAACATATTGTCGAAATATGATGTTTAAAAGATATCAAATATAGTGGCATTAAATGTTTACTTTTATCTTATTGATCCTTGTGCATCCCAACAAGTTTTGACTTCTGTGGGGAAGAGAGGGATCCTTGGGATAGATATTTTACAGCTCAAATGCAGTTGTGCAGTTACTTGAAGAAATGTGTGTATAGGCTGAGCATACTTTCTCCAGAATGCTTGGGATCAGAAATACTTTGGATTTTGGATGGATTTTTTAAAAATGGAATATATATGGACATAACAAGATATCTAGGAAACCAGACCCAAGTCTAAACATGAAATTCATTTATGTTTCCTATATATGTTATGCACGTGGTCTGAAGGTAATCTTATGCAAATAATAATAACAACAACAGCACTTTATTTATATACCACCCTTCTCCTTGTGGGGACTCAGAGTGGATTACAGTATAAACAGATACCGGTAAATATTCAGTGCCTTGTTAGAATACAGCGAGACACACAAACTCAACATAGGCCAAAGCTACTCCTTTCATTTCCAGCTTTGGAGGCGGTGCTCATCTCTGGCTCTGGGGAGGTGCTGTTCTCCATTTTCAAGCTGAGGAGCCTCGCTATCCCCTCCTGGCCATGTGACCCGTATGACTGCTTGAAGCATCTTGTGCTTTCCTGCCTAAGCAGTACCTATTTATTCACATTGCCTGTTTTCGAACTGCTAGGATGGAAGGTGCTAGGGCTAACAGCAGGAGCGCACCTTGTTCCGTGGAGTTGATCTGTCAACCAGCAGTTCAGCAGCACAAGGGTCTAACCCAATTTTAAATAATTTTTGAATGAGTCAATTTTTTTTGTACACTGAACCACCAGAATGTTAAAGAACAATACTCTCCATGTATCTCAAAAAAGAGGCACCAGAATCTTGTCAAAATGATTTTAACAGATTAGAGAGATGGACCAAAACTCACAATGAAGTTCAATGGGGACAAATGCAAGACACTCCACTTAGGCAGAAAAAAATAAAATGCAAAATACAGAATGGGGGATGGCTGACTTGACAGCAGTACATATGAAAACGATCTTGGAGTCCTCACGAACAACAAGTTAAACATGAGCCAACAATGTGATGCAGCAGCTAAAAAAGCAAATAGGATTTTAACCTGCATAAATAGGAGTCTAGATGTCTAGATCCAGGGAAGTCAGGCTACTCCTCTATCCTGCCTTGGTCAGACCACACCTGGAATAGTGTGTCCAATTCTGGGCACTGCAATTGAAGGAGATGTTGACAACCTGGAATGAGTCCAGAGGAGAGTGACTAAAATCATCAAGGGTCTGGAGAACAAGCCCTATGAGGACTGGCTTAAAGAGCTGGGCATGTTTAGCCTGCAGAAGAGAAGGCTGAGAGGAGACATGATGGCCATGTAGAAATATGAAAGGGGAAGCCGTAGGGAGGAGGGAGCAGACTTGTTTTCTTCTGCCCTGGAGATTAGGATGCAGAGCTATGGCTTTAAACTACAGGAAAGGAGATTCACCCTGAACATTAGGAAGTATTTCTTAACTGTGAGAGCTGTTCAGCAGTGGAACTCTCTGCCCTGGATTGTGATGGAGGCTCCTTCTTTAGAGGCTTTTAAAGAGAGTCTGGATGGCCATCTATTGGGGGTGCTTTGAATGTGATTTTCCTGCTTCTTGGCAGGAGGTTGGACTCTATGGCCCACAAGGTCTCTTCAAGCTCTATGATTCTATGAATAAATGATACATATCATAAGAAGATACCAACAAAGAACAGCTAGCAATCCTGAAAAATCTTTTGGATTAAAAATTGTTTCCTTTACATTTACAACAGAACAAAACTCAGATATTTCTTGGGAAGGTAAATGAGTATATACCCAGGGGTTCAACAAACGTGGTCACCATCGCGCATAAAGGCTTAGTTCAGTCTGGCTTCAGATAGAGATAGGATTTGGAACAAAGCTGCTTCTCATTGCCTTTATATGCAAGATTCACACTAGGACCTGGCGCCAAGACAGTGGGCATTAAAGGATTGAAATGAGCCCTTTGTGTGATTCTTGGCACCAAATCCCCTTGTATCAGCTTAATATTGCTAATAGGCAGCAATATTTGTGAAGCAATTAAAGATTTCCAGTAGTCCTCAAAAGAAGTCTCACATAGTCCAACCAAGGGTTAGGTATTTATCACAACTATCACAGCCTAGCATGTATTTACCTGTATCCCGAGTTCACAGGATAAACAACAGAATATCAATGTATCAATCAATCACCATCCAGGAAAATCTGGAACTGGAGATTGGAATTGCAAATTTCTCCATTGACTGGATTGACATGGTTTTCAAGGTCGATCAGAAGTGTTTCACTCATGCAAGGAGGAGGAAATGGAAGAGTTTCTATCCCTGCCTTGTGGTGATTGACTTTTGTTGCCCTCAGACGGGATGGCTTGGATTCAATCCCAGATTGGGGCTTCCATGGCCTTACAGGCTAAGCAGCTGGTTTAGCAGCTTGCTTAGCTAAGCGGCTTGTTCAACCCGTTAAATAAAATTTAACGTTCTGGACTGTATGGTGAATTTTGTTGGAAGGTGCGTAGTCCTTGGAATCCTTTGCACTCATTTCATCTCCATTGTTTCTGCCTATGAGCCCCAAACAAAGACCTCAAAAAGGCAGTTGCTAATCCCATCCTGTCTGCAATTCAACACACTTACCAATGTGATTTGCTTACAACAAAATGCGGAGCCGTGTGAGCGGGACCAATGCGATTTACAGCAGGGTTTAAGTAACAAAATCTCTCAAAAATGAAATAAAAACCCTAGCCTAGTAAACAAGCTTCTTGCCTGAAAATCTGCTCTTGGCCAAGGAAAATTTACAGAGGCAAAATATGTATTCCATGTATGGAAATTAAAATCCTTGAGAATGAAGCTTTGTGCTAAATTTGGCATCTCTTTACAGGTTTGTTTTTGCCAGAGCTAGTCCAAGACATTTTTTTTCTGAAGCAGAAGATATGGTGCCCCTGTCTTCACCTGCCCATTTCAGGAGCTAACCAGACTGGCACTTGAACCGTATGCCAAGACTGATAAGTGGACAGTTCCTCCATCTGAAGATAGCACTCTGTTTTAGGGGCACGAGGCAAACCATCTGGCCCAGAACAACTGCCAGCTCCTCACTCCTCTTTGCACCACGAAGGCCAGGCATTTGCTGTCTATAGTTGTTTCCTCAGTCTGCCTTTTGGCAAGGGTCACTGCCTTACATGTAAACTGTTCACACTAAATAATTACTGAGTTGGAAGAGACCCCGTAGGCCATCCAGTCCAAACCCCCCACCCCCGCCCGCCAAGAAGCAGGAAAATTGCATTCAAAGCACCCCTGAATAGCAATCCACTTTAATTGCCAAGAAGGAGAAGGAGAAGGAGGAGGAGGAGAAGAAGAAGAAGTGTAGACTCTACAAGGAAGCAGATGAAACAATAGATCATATCCTCAGCTGCTGCAAAAAGATTGCACAGACAGACTACAAGCAGAGGCATAACACCGTTGCTCAGAGGATTCCTTAGAACTTGTGCCACAAATACCATCTGCCTGTGACAAAGAACTGGTGGGATCACAAGCCTGAAAAGGTTACAGAAAATGAATACGTCAAACTACTGTGGGACTTCCAAATTCAGACTGACAGAGTTTTGGAGCACAATACTCCTGACATCACGATCATGTTAAAAAAAACCAAGTATGGATCGTCAATGTTGTAATACCAAATGACAGCAGGACTGAAGAGAAACAATTGAAAAAGCTGACACAATATGAGGATTTAAATATCAAACTGCAATGACTCTGGCACAAGCCAATCAAGGTGGTCCTAGTGGTAATCGGCACGCTGGGTGCAGTGCCTAAGGACCTTGGTTTGCACTTAAACACAATCGGTGTTGACAAAATTACCCTCTGTCAGCCGCAAAAGGCCACCCTACTGGGATCTACACACATTATCCACCGGTACATCACATAGTCCTAAACACTTGGGAAGTATCCGATGTGTCATCCATTACAACAACCAGCATAGTGATCTTGTTTGCTGTGTACTAAACTTGCTGTGTTTCAAGTAATAATAATAATTTTAACTCGCCCTCTCGCCCCAAGGGGACTCATGGAATTCTGGAGTTTGTCCAATGTTCAGGACAATTTGGGAGCTGAAGTCCAAAACGTCTGGAAATGAAAGTTTGGGAACCCCTGGTTGAGAATTCTATTGCCTCTTCCCTAAACTGCAAGTCTTCAAATTCCATCATGGTAATTAAGATAGAACCATAGTATTATAAGAGTGAAAAGTTTTCTGATTATTGCTATTAGAAAAATAGTTGGTACTTTTGACAGTCTTAGGGTTCATATATCTTGTAGAATTAATATACTTCGACACCACTTTCACTGCCTTGGCTCAATGCTATGGAATCAAGGGATTTGTAGTTTGGTGAGGCACCAGCACTCTTTGGCAAAGAAGTCTGTGTAAAACTACAACCTCCCATGATTCTATGATATTGATCCATGGTAGTTAAAATGTTGTCAAACTCATTCATTTTTCTAGGTCAGTTTACTAATACTATAATTTACACATCTCATGCCTACAGTGAGGATTTTAAAAGTAGTTGTAGTTACAAGTAGTACAAGGTAGGCTTTGTTTGTTTTCAATTTGAATCCAAGCTCAAGTCTTGAAGATGTGCTACTAAATCTCCTTGGCTCTTCTTGTTTGTCCACTAAGCATTAAAAAGCTATGGACCCTTCACCATCTTACTGTTCTGGCTAGTTTGGGGGGGGGGGGAGTACTTTATCGATCATTCTGCTTCTATTTTTCATTTATCAGCATTTATTTATTTATTTAGAATAGTAATATTTTGCTCTTAGAACAGCTTACAAGTTGTTTATTTGATAGTTCTCTGCCCTCAGGCTTCCAATCACAATAAGAAGCAACACATAAGAAAACGGGAATGGGAATGGAGGAAGGGAAGCTCATCAAAATTGTGCTATATTACACTTCTTTGCAAGCAATACGGTTTTTGCAGGCACATTAAGAGCTCAAATTCGGTTTTTACAATGCTTC